AACTTGTAACAGTTAGTTAATTAATAATGTTGAAATTTTTTTCTTTATTGTACTTTTAATATTAGTTTGGGAACTAGGAAGCCATTTAGGACTTTATTTTCTCTTAATCTCATTATTTGACTTTTACTTTATTATAATTATTTTATTAAAAAATTTGAGTCGAACTCGGAGCGAATTTCGAGCTCATGAAATTTGAGTCGATCTCGACCATTTGTATAAATATGCATATTAGTTCACCGAGTACGACGAATCAACCCTCCTAATAGTTGCTTTGCCTTGTCCAAGAATTTCAAAAAGATATGAGCGGTAAAAAACACAAATTACAGCCAACCAACAAGAAGTTATACCTGTAAAATGCAGATAAAAGTGGAGCAAAAAGGCCATTAAATTGCTCCATCTACCAAAAAATGCATCCAATGCATGGGCAAGAAGTAATTTATCTCCATACTAAACCTACAAATTCTCAAACTGCTCCATCGACAACCTAGTGAAGAAGTGAAATATAACGAGATCATTTGAAAGTTTTCTAGACGAGTTTTCTTATAGTGAGATTGATCGTAAAAAAACCCGACGTTATGGTTTTGGTTAGTAGTCCAAGAAAGTTGGATATTTGTCAATTGTTAGACTAATGATCAGAATATGACAGTTGAAACTTTCAAATGACACTTTCTGATCGGAGATCGTATATCATGATTATCGAAAAATTTAAACTATATTTTTTTTTATGCATACATGCTCCCACCTTGTTGTCGATCAATTATCGACGAATAATTTTTCAGATATCGAAAAATCATACCTCATTGTATTCGTTTATCATGGTCTTCGAAAATTCTAAATTAATTTCAAAGATGGATGCAAAGTTCATCGTTAGTTGAATTAATTTCCTTTTTCCTGTCATGTTAGGATTTATATAGGAGATAAAATAATTAATTCACTGTACTTTGAGAAGCAATTTGTCAACTGAAACTTTATATAACAAATTTAAAATAAAAAATTGACATCCTTCGTTAAAATAATTTTTCACTTTCTTTATTTTTTCCTAAATTCGACCTGCACAATTTTTTTGAAAAAACCTTATACAACCAAACACATTCTATAAGGGGTGGGAGCAAACCAAACTAAAACCGAAAAATCTTAGTTGAATCGTGCAGTTCGATTTGATTCTATTCGATTTTTTTAATTCGGTTCGGTTTCCCTTCATTGCAGTGCATATTTTCCACAAGTTCAATGTTTTTATATTGTTTTTTTTTATTCGGTAAAGTTTTGCACCGAATTGAACCAAATTAAACATAAATACATAAGAAAAAAGAGAAAAAAACTGAAAAACCGAGCCAACCGTGCATTTTAGTGTAGTTCGATCGATCATTGTAAAAAATGACCATGCATTTTAGTGTAGTTCGATCGATCATTGTAAAAAATTTGAGTTCGTTTCGGTTCGATCTTTTCTATACTATTGTTTGGTTTTGCAGTTGGGTGCATTTTTTTTCATTTTTTGCATTAAGCTTGTTTCATTTTAATAGTTCCTACTCTTTTTTTTCTTGTTTAATAGAATTAAAAGGAAAATATTATATATTAAAATATTAAAATTAAGCTATATGAGTCGTCTGAAAAAAGATGACGACTCATGTAAACCCTCGATATTAATCTGCTGCTTTTGTTCCTCCGACCATTTATCCTCTCGCGCTCTCTAATGGCCACCACTGTGCTAAAAACAACACCCGCCTTTTGCGCGCCGGCGGCGTACGCCGGCGCATCCTCCGTCAAATCTGTAGCTTCTACTCGCGTTTCATTTTCATCCAATAGGTTTCCTGTGATTAGGTGTCGGATTTACAGCACAGGCTACAAGAGGAGTACTAGTAGTGTCAAGTTGCCTAGCCGCTCGGCTGCGAAATTCTTGACCTTCGCCGCCGATGGGGAAACTGCGGAGGCCCAAACGGAGATCCGAGAGAAAGACCCGGTTCAAGAATCCGAAGATGAGGTAATTTTACATGTCCACACCATTATGTTGTTTGATTTGGGTTTCCGGTTTCCCTTTTCTCTTTTGTGCTTGTCAATTTCTGAAATAGTCGAACCAAATTGTCGGGCGTGCCGCATTTGTTGTTTGAAAAGTTTGATTTCATCTTGTTTTATGTGAGGGAGTAATGAGGCAGTTGATGCATTTGTCAGTATTAGGTTTTTGGTTTGAGCTGGTACTTAATGTGTTCGACGAATGTGAACTCTCGAGGGATTAGGATGAAGAATTGTGAATTAACTCTTGAAGGGCTGGTTACCTAATTATTTGGTGATAAACATTGGATCAGGGACAGTAATATACTAATACTAATATGAGAAAAAAATGTTTCTTTAGTATGATGACGCAAAAGTATTTTGATGTTCGATAAGATAACAGTCTACTGTATTTTCCATTTCCTATCAAAATAACAATTTCGTGTGAGTGATGAGCTTTGAAGGTGTCCTGAATAAAGAAGTGCTACATTTCAGTGACTGAAAGCAAAGTTGTAATCGTAGTTAATATATTTTAAACATGCAAAATGTTGCATAATACGCGACTATTGGTTGCTGACTCTCTCGTGCAGTTTAGGTGACTTTATGATAATCTTGGGATGGGAAATCATTTCAAGTGATTGGGTACTTGAAATGTACATTAGTTCATTTTCCAACTTCGTCGTTCTCTCAGTTCCACATGTGGTCTCTTTCCCCTCCTGTTCTTTCCGTGGCTTGTTTATCCTATTTGGTACAGTATGTCAGTATCTCTTAAGTGCATTAAAATATAGGATGGGAAGCTGTAGATTATAGTAAAAAATGTATTTAAAAACTGTTGAAAAACATCTTACATGATTGAGATGATCAAGCCGTGAGCTTTCATGCTAAAGCTACTAGCATTTACAGGAAATGAGAAAAACCTTGCCTCAGTCTCATCTATACGAAATCCAGTGCATGCAAACTATCATAACAGAATAATGATTCGGGTGAAAGATGGCGCTTTCTATTCATTATCATAGTAGTCTGCTTTCCGGTGCTCCTCGTGTTCTCATGAACTAAGCTGAGAATGGGGAAAACCAAACACTTTGGTAAATGGATCGTATTAGCAGCGATATATACCATCTTAAACTTGAATTGGTATAGAATAAACTTTAAAAAAATTATGTGTTGATGGTTGCCATCATTTCATAAATTGAGTGAAAAATCTCTTACTATCTCAAGTTGGTAAGATTGTGTTAAGACTAACTACTTTAATGCTCTAGTTTTACTTTAATCCTTACCAATACTGATAAATCACAGTGCCCTTACAGATATCTACTGAAATCCATCTCCTGTAAGTTAGTGATAAGTACTTTTTAAGTTTCTATTCAAAATGGCATGGCTTCTTTAGAGTTTTTGTTAATTATATATATTGATTATGGGAGCTCCATAACATTCAGGCACAAAATTTCTCAATTGCTTTAGGAACCAGATTTGGGTCCCATCTATACCATGATTTACATCTCTTTTTATATATATTCAGGAGACGGCAGATGGCACAATTGACGATGATTCTTCTATTGAGAGTGAAGATTCAGTTCCCGATGAAAGTAGCTCTCTGGTTATAGCTTCTTTAAATCTATACAAAGAGGCTCTAGCAAATAATGACGACTCAAAAATCACCGAAGTAGAATCGCTTCTCAAAACCATTGAAGATGAAAAAATCCATCTTGAGAGCAAGGTGGCCCAATTAACCGAAGAACTTTCGTATGAGAGTTCCAGAGTCCTTAGGATCAGTGCCGACTTCGATAATTTCCGCAAGAGGACAGAGGGGCAACGTCGTTCACTTATCTCTAATGCGCAAGGAGAAGTTGTGGAGAGTCTTTTGCCCGTTTTGGATAATTTCGAGAGAGCCAAAGCTCAGATAAAAGTGGAAACTGAAGGGGAGGAAAAAGTCAACAACAGTTACCAGAGTATATACAAGCAGTTTGTGGAGATTCTGGGTTCCCTCGGCGTGGTCCCTGTTGAGTCAGTGGGAAGACAATTTGATCCCATGGTATGTTTTTTATACTCTTGTTTACGAATTTTATGTTTTCATGTAGTTAGTGGCATTTTTTCGTGTTGAAAATTTGATTATTCAAGGGCGGAGGTTTTCTGAAATGTAGAATCCTGATGGCCGTTCTATTTAAGGTTTGCTATCTGGTCATTGGTTGATTGCAGGTAAGCTCCTGAGTTGGCTCACAATTCAGTCGAGTAATAGGTGAACTCTTTGAAAAGCTGTATAAAGTTTATTCAGGTTTCACGAGGACCTGGATATGCTTTTAACTCGAGTTAATTCTGTATTATTCGAGCCAACTCGGTGAGTTTATTGAGGAGAGAGCGGTATGGTATCTTAAATCTTGTTGGAAGATCTATCTTTTGATCTCTTTATTTGAAGCTCGGTTGACAAGCATCTTTTTTTCTTAATGGTTGTAATTTTTTTGGTTATCATGTGTTTCTGTGGCTTATAAGAATGTTATTGGAGATTATTTTCCTCCTAATGAATGTTGAGTGTTCGTTAAAACTAAATTACACATGCAGAAGCACACACTACGATTCGCTGATGCTTGAAACAAAAGTTTAGTGTTTGATTGTTTTCAAATGTGTGCACTGCTTTTAGATTTATTGTTTAACTTCGGATTTCATATTTCATTTCACAGGTTTACTAGACATTTCTACTAATTCCACAAAGCATTCTTCCATCACTTTCTATACCTTTTAGCTTCTATTTGCAAACATTACTAGTTATTGGTTCTCGACTATTTTTCTTTTCTACTATGATAATAAGTCCCTTTTATACCTAGTTTGTAACATTAACCTTTGATCTGTCTCGGTAAAAGCTGCACGAAGCTATAATGCGGGAAGATTCGACTGAGTACGAAGATGGTGTTGTTATAGAAGAATACAGGAAAGGGTTTCAACTTGGTGAAAGATTGTTGCGCCCATCAATGGTGAAGGTTTCAGCTGGGCCCGGGCCCACAAAGCCCGAGAATGGTGGCGAAGAGGAACCTCAAGAGGAAGCCAATGAGAACAACGATCAAGAGGGCAGCCCAGAAACCGAAGCTGCCTGATCATTAGTCATCAATCTCCTGATATAAAAGTCAATTTTGTATGAAAAATTACTCCAAAAAATTATATTGGTAGAGACTTGTGGGATTTGTTTTTGGATATCTTGGGTGGATTACTGGACTAGAATGTGCTAAGGCCTGGGAGAAGAGATTTTTCATCACATTCATCTTTTATTTCATATTGTAGCGAGCATTTGTATTTGGAGTACAGTTTGTTCCTAACAGAACTTTTTTTACTTGCTAGATGCTGGACTTTGATAAAATAGGTTTGTTGTGTTTTTATTTATCCACATGTATATCAAATTAACAATTAGGTATCTAATTATTTAATAATCTATCTCAAATGAATAAATGTAAAACCTCTATATGAAATCAACTTCATATGATTTTTATTTGACTTTTGTATATGTAAAATAAAAAATAAATTTTTATATTTATAAAGAAAATAGTTAACTATCAATTCTAAATAAAAAATAAAATTATAATTTATCAATTAAATTAACTTATTAATAAAGTTATTACATTATCTGAGTTTTAGAATTTATTATGATATAAGGAGTGAATTTGACAGGTTAAGTATGTAATTTTATATTAAAATAATCATATCTTTTTTAAGTAATAGAAAACTTATATTTTTAGTATTTAAAATAAATTTATTAATAATACTTTCACATATCAATAATCATATTATTTTTTTTTTTGGAAAGTGTGCATATTTTAGTGACGCTATGAATCAATGAAGATAGTAGATGGCATGACATAATAATGCACACATCACCATATTTTTGAAATTTTCTTTTCTAGAAAACATGTGTTTGACAGTAATGTGAATCACGAGACTTTAGAAACATTCTTTTATACTCTGCTCCGTTTCATAATATATGTCATTTTGAGAAGTTGTACAGTAATTAAAAGTTTATTTCTTTTGCCAATAATAATCTTATTTAATGAAGATAGAGATTAATATTTTGATAGAAAGATGAAGAGTGAATATGAAAAAACGTAATGTATTTATTGGCTAAAATAATGTAATAATAAAAAAAATATGTACAAAAGAACCAAAACGTCATTTATTTTGGTTAATAGTTGACAAAGCTGGGTGGAAGTCTACGTCACCTATGAGGGGGTTATGGAGAAGGCGGAGCAATGACTGGCTGGGTGGAAGTCTACGTCACGGTCATTGGCGGGGAGGATCACTTTAACCCAGGCGGTGGTGAGCAGTTTGCCTTATTATTCCATGCAAACCGCTTGGATCCAGTCGGCGGTATGTGAAGGTCTGGAGAAGTACTGTCGTCGTTTTGTTTGGGGTGGTTCAAGTAATACACATAAAATCCACCTTGTTAACTGGAGCTCTTTGTGTTCGCCTAAAGAGGAAGGCGAGATGGGGTTAAAAAACCAGAGACATATGAACATGACTCTTCTCATGAAGCTCGCTTGGGGTTTGTTAAGCAGGCCTGAGTCACTGTGGGTGTGTGTCTTATGCGCCAAGTATAAGATTCAACCGAACACTTTGCCAATGGAATTAAATTGCTCGTCGGGTTCCGTGGTCATGCGTGCAATTGCTAGAGTCTGGCCGCATGTAGTCAAGGGGTCCAGATGGTCCATAGGAGACGGTTCTCGTGTTCGGTTTTGGTGGGATAATTGGCTTAATCTCTAGAAGGCTTTAATTCACCGCGTTCGGGCATAATACCAGAGGAGCAATTATCATGGTCCGTTTCCAAGTACGTAACTGATGGGGGTCAATGGAATTGGCCGAGCTTCTCCGCCTTGCTCAGACCTCTGATCTTCTTAGAATATCGTCAATAATGCCCCCCAAGGTGAGTGCCGGTCGCGATCGAATGTATTGGGGTTGGTCATCGAATGGAAAGTTCACGACCCGCTCGGCGTATATTTCTTTAGCCCATACGGAACATGGCCCGAAGAGTCGCATTTGGAAGCTAATATGGGGTTGGGTTGGCCCACAACGCGTTAAACAGTTCCTATAGCTGGCTGCGAGGGAACGGTTGTTGACTAACGCGGAGCGATACCGACGTCATTTGGTGGATAGTCCGTTATGTGCCGTGTGTAAGTCCAAGCCGGAAACTACTCTCCATGTGCTGCGGGATTGTGAGTTCTCGTCCCTTTTCTGGAAGAAGTCGCTCCCACGATTGCGATGGGCTGAATTTTTTGAACTGGATTTCGGCTCGTGGTTGGAGTCAAATTTATCTAATAAATGG